GGGTGCATGGAATGGAATTGCTAGGTCATATGGCAGTTCTATGTTTTGCTTTCTGAGGAGTCACAAATCCACTTTTAAGGTCCCTTGTACCACTTTATGCTCCCACTGGCAGTGTGAAAAGTTCCTATTTCTCCACATCTTTGCTAACACTTGCTATTTTCTATTTTTTTAAAAAAAAACATTACAGGCATTCTAGTGAATAGGTAGTAGTGATTTTGATTTGCATCTCCTTAACAACCAATGAAATTGAACATTAGTTAATGTGTTTATTGGCCAATTACATATGAACTTTAGAGAAATATCCCGTTAAGTCCATTTTGCTATTTTTTAAAAGATTTATTTATTTATTTGAAAGTCAGAGTTACAGAGAGAGAGAGAGATCTATCTACTGGTTCACTTCCCGGATGGCTGCAACAACCAGGGCTGAGCCAGACTGAAACCAGGAGCCGAGAGTTTCATCTTGGGTTCAGGGGCCCAAGCACAGAACTGGATTGGAAGCGGGGCGACTGGACACAAACAGGAACCTGTATAGGGTGCCAGCATTGCAGGTGGCAACTTTACTTGCTATGCCACAACATTAGTCTTCTCCCTGCCATTGCTAATTTTTAAATTAGGCTGTTTGTCTGTTTTCTTGTCTTGAATAAAGGTATTGTGATATATACACTCAGTGGAATATTATCCATCCATAAAAAAGGCACAGAAGTTGGTGACAATCTACAGTTTTCATGGAAACCAAATGTATTGTGCTAAGTGAAAGAGGCTGTACACATGAAAATCACATATCTTATGATTCCTTTTGTGTGACATATCTAGAACAGGCAAATCTATTGAGATTAGTAAATGTCAAGAATGGGGGAGAGAGGAAAAAGTGACCACTTAAAGGTTTTATATGTGGTATGCTTCTGGGCTTATGAAAATGTTTTGAAACTAGAGGGAAGTGATGTTTATATAATAATGTTACTACACTGAATGACACTAATTTGTATACTCAAAAATAGTTAATTTTGTGTTACATGGATTTTATAATTTTTCAAAATGAAGAAAGTTAAGTCAAATAAGCTTGAAAATAACTGCTTTAGTATTTCTTGGCCTTTATTGTTGCATGCACCCCAGTGGCAGCCTTATTAGCCCTATGAAATTCTCAAAATAATGTTTGTAAGTGCATAAAATAAAATGTGTAGTTAGAGAAAAACCAGTTATATTGAAAGGTATTTATAAAACTATTTTAGAAAATGCTCACCCATAAAATACTTGCTTCTTCATTGAATCATTAAATGGCTAGATCTAGCAGTAGATCTAATAACTACCATAAACTTGAAGTAGTGATAAATGTAAATGATATTTGCAGACATCTGGAAATTGATATAACAATCATATACCATTTCCATTGCAGACAAAAATCATAGGTACTATGAACATTACTACAGAGTTTGTTGCCTATATTCTTAAAAATCCTTAAATTTTAACAAGTTGTTAATGGAAACAGATATGTAATCTTTTTTGAAAATATTAATTTATTGAACCCCCCCAAATTCTACTTCAAAAATGCAAACAATTAGTAAAGGGAAGGGTATACATGTTTTTTCCTTTGCTCTTAGAAGCACTTTGGTGGAAGTGGTTAAACAGAGCTGAATAATCAGAGTGGGCGTAGTGGCACGGTTGGTTATGCATTAGGAGCCCTGCATCCCACATACTAGTGCTTCTGATCCAGTTACCTGCTTATGCATCCTGGAGGGCAGCAGATGGTGGCGTGAGTAGCTGGCACCCTGTCACTCATGTGGAATACCCAGATGGATTCTGGTCCAGCCCAGACTAATGCAGGTGTTTGGGGAGCAAACCAGGGATGGAGGATTCTCTTTCCTGTTCTCTCTCTCTGTATCACTCTACCTTTCAAATAGATGAAAACAAACATTTTTTTAAAAAATAAGATAATAATGGATGGCAGAAAAAGCAAAAACAAGACAAAAAATATTGTTACATTGGATTTCTCTTTAAGACTGTCATGTTTAGAGAGCATATAAAAGATCTATTTTTAAATGTTTATCTTAATTTTTTAAGATATTTTGATCCAATTTCAGTGAAACAAATGATCCAAGAAGCAGAGTCATCTAAAAAAATAGAAACTTAACTTGTTGAGAGATGAGAAATTGATTTTATTCCCCTGTGTTTGGAAAATAAAGGATGTTGACGGTGGGACAGTTGTTAGCATGTAGAAATTATTTTTGGACTGATTTTATTTAAGAGAAAAGCAGCTCCTGTCCTAAGACATATATACCTCTTACCAATAGAAAAGGACAATCAAGTTGTTTTTAAACAAGTCCCAATGATGTGCACAATACCTTAATACTAAACTTTCAGTCTTTCTGGCTATATAATAAATTGGATATAATAAAATATATTCATCATATAAGAATCACCTGTAATTTAGCTACATATTGTGAAATGGCATGAAAAAAACCAGAAAGTTTTACTTAATTAAGTATTATTACTGCTTCCAGGCTAAAATAATCATGAGAAATTTCAGCTCCAAATGATGCATTAGAAATGTCTTGTAATATTATAAATATTGTAATCATTATAATGCTCTAATCCAATTCAAGGGTTGAGCTACTAAATGGGTAATAATAGGTCCTGAGCAAAATCTAATGAGACAACCAATTTTCTCTGCCCACTTTCTGGATTTTCCCTTAGGTCTTGAGCAGTGGGAATTAATTTTGTTTTTAAATGGTTTAACTGTAGAACTTCTGTTTTTTCTCTTTTGTACATATTCTGATTCCATGGAATAGTGGTTTTCAACTTGGACTCAAAAGTAACAGTGAATTCCAAAGTCAATTCCTTGAAATAAATTTCATTCCAGCCATTGCAAGAAAGGGTGGATAGGATTAATTTATATAAAACCTCATGCCCAGATCAAAACAAAACCAAAAAACAAAACTTCAGGTCTCAGAAAAATAATGGAAGAGTTCATTATCTGCGTTATGATTCATGAAACTCCTTGGCAGCTGAGGAGCTCCTCTTGTTTGAAAATTGTTTTTAGAAGGTAGAATCTTTGGTGACGTAGTGGGTAAAGCCTTTGCCTGCAGTGCTGCCATCCCACAAGGGCACCAGTTCAAGTCCTGGCTGCTCCACTTTCCAATCCAGCTCCTTGCTAATGCGCCTTAGAAAGCAGAAGAAGATAGCCTGAGTGCCTGGGACCCTGCAACCATGTGGAAGATGGATGGAGCTCCTGGCTTCTAGCTTTAGCCTGGCCCAGCCCTGCCTGTTGCAACCATTTGGAGAGAGAACCAGCAGAAGGAGGATCTCTGTCTCTCTGTCTCTCTCACTCTCTTTTCTGCTTCTGCCTCCCCTTCTCTGTAACTGGACTTTCAAATAAAGAAATAAATCCTTAGCAACAACAACAAAAAAGCAGAATCTTTGGGAGTGGGAACTTAGACAAAAGGTTAAGACACCCATTTCCCACATCAGAGTGCCTGCCTTTGATTTCCAACCCAGCTCCTCACTCCGGTTTCCTGCCGTTGCAGACCCTGGGAGGCAGTAGGGATAGCTCAAGTAATTGGATTCCTGCCACTCACATGGAAGACCTGGATTGAGTTCCTTGCTCCCAGCTTCGGTCCAGCCCAGCCCCAGCCATTTCAGACATTTGGGGAGAGAACCAGAGAATGAGAGCTCTGCTTGTCTCTCAAATAACACGTAATAATTTTTAAAAGAGATAATTATTTTTCTTCCCTTCTTTTTTTCTCTCTTCCATGTTTCCTGAGTTATTCTTTTTCTGGGCTGTCCATGCCCAAAGTACCTCTTCTATTTACCTTGCTTTTCTTAGGCAGAATCTTCTCTTTGCTGACATCTGCTGAACCTCTCCTTGGCTTTACTGAAAGGTTTTATGATTCTGTAGGTTTCAGGGTACCTGGAAAATCCCATTTACAGTTCAACTAATGGGTGAAATTTAGGTGTGATAATCAGAGGTCCCTATCATGACACACTGAAGCACTGGAAATCCTTCTAGGTCATCTTCCTCTCATCTCCTGGGTGACCATATCTACAGTCCAAGGGAAAAGCCAAAAAAGAAACTTTTACCAAGGTTTTGTCATAAACTTATACATCTCAAATCCTAGCCTTTTATTCTGAGATTTAGCCATTGCTAGGAGAGAAGTTATAATGCTTTTGTTTATTTGTCTCTAAAAGAAATCAGTTTGTGTTTACATATAGCAGATAAATGCAGAGAAAAATCTGAAAGAACATCTCTGAAGCTTACTTTAAAAAAAAAGATTTATTTGTTTATTTGAAAGGCAGAGTTAGACAGAGAGGGAGGTTATGGGGCAGGGGCAGGCTAACTTTTTTATAACAACCTTCCTGTGAGAACTAACCCTGTGAAAACTACACCAATTACTTCCCAAAGCAGTATTTACAATAGACTAATTACTTCCCCTTTGGTCCCCCCTCTTAAAGGTCCCACTGCCTCTTAACATTACCACACAGAGGATCAAGCTTCTGACATATAATCCCTTGGGAGATGCACTCAAACCAAATCCGAATGACAGGAAGACAGATCATGGTACACAAAAGGAGAAGAGTAGTAGCTATTCATGTAGTGACTTACAAGCCTTTTTAAGGACTTGGGAATTTATTCTATATGGAATGGGAACTCAATAAGGGGTTTTAAGCAGGGATTGTCATGATTCAACTTCTGATTTATAGCTGCCACTCTGGTTAGAGTTTGGCCAATCAATTGGAGAGGTGCAAATACAGAATCTTAGAGTCTGGCTAGAAGGCCAACAGAATAACTCAAGCAAGATACAATGAGGCATTATGAAGAGCAGCAAACTGCTCCACTACGGTCTGAAGTTAAAAACAGAGCAGCTGAAAAAAGAAAAAAAATTCAAGGTGAGGGACAAGGAATAAATCCAGACATATGAAGATATGAGATTGTAAGAGGAAGGAGGAAAAAGGTGGTTGGATATTGAAGAGGAAAGAACTGAGAACAACTGAGAAGTTGAAAAAGAATGAGCAACAAGTTGGTGACCAAGGTGAAGAAGGAAGCTCTTGCACTTCCCAAAGCTGAAGCCCAAGCAAAGGATTTGGAGAACAAGAAGGCAGTGTTGAAAGGCATCCACAGCTACAAAAAAAGAGAAAAGATCCATACGTCACCCATATTACAGCAGCCCAAGACACTACGTCTCCAGCAGCAGCCCAAATATCCTTGGAAGGGCACCCCCTGGAGAAACAAGCTTGGCCACTATGCCATCATCAAGTTCCCTCTGACCACAGGGTCTGCCATGAAGAAGACAGAAGACAACAATAGACTCAAGTTCATTGTGGCTGTCAAGGTCAACAAGCAGCAGATCAGAAAAGCTGTGGTGAAACTCTATGACATTGATGTGGCCAAAGTCAATTCTCTGATCAGATCTGAAGTAGAAAGAATGCATGTGTTTGGCTCCTGATTATGATGCTTTGGATGTTGCCAACAAAATTGGAATCATCTAAACTGAGTCCAGCTGGCTAATTCTAAAAATATATTTTTTTCAACATATCAAAGGGAAAGAAAAAAATAAAAAGAATTGGCTAAAGAGAAAATGGAGATAAAATTAAGAAAATGCATGGGGCTGTAATTTGGAGAACTCAGAGTACTAGTCATCTGTATATTAGAGCATCAATTAAAGGAAAATTAAAATATGTGCTTCTTAAAAAAACAGTTTTTATTTCTTAGAAAGGCAAATGAAAAGACAGCACTCCCACCCACTTTTTTCCTCCCCATATACTTGAAACTTGGGCTGAGGCTAAAGCTGGGAGCTGGGAAGTCAAATCAGTTCTCTTATGGGGGTGCCAGGAACTCAATCACTTGAGCCATCACTGCCACTTCCCTGGGTATGCATTAGCAAAAAGCTGGTGCCAGGAGCTAGAACCAAGCATTGAACCCAAACACTCCAATGTGGGATTGACCACTAGGCTAAACACCTGCTCCCCATGTACTTTTTTTTTTACATTAAAAAAAAGGAAGGCATATTTTTTTTTTTTTTTTGACAGGCAGAGTGGACAGTGAGAGAGAGAGACAGAGAGAAAGGTCTTCCTTTGCCGTTGGTTCACCATCCAATGGCCACTGAGGTCGGCGCACTGTGCTGATCCGAAGCTAGGAGCCAGGTGCTTCTGCTGGTCTCCCATGCGGGTGCAGGGCCCAAGAACCTGGGCCATCCTGCACTGCACTCCTGGGCCACAGCAGAGAGCTGGCCTGGAAGAGGGGCAACCGGGACAGAATTCGGCGCCCCGACCAGGACTAGAACCTGGGGTGCCAGCGCTGCAGGTGGAGGATTAGCCTATTGAGCCGCGGCGCCAGCCAAGGAAGTCATATTTTTAAAAAATATTGTAGGAAAATCAATATCTGCCACTATGTTTAAGCAAGCTAAACATTTTCCTTTGATTGGAGGATTTCTCTTTTGTTCTAAAATACCAAAATTATATCATCCATCTACTCAGGGATATAGCACACTTGAACAAACTTGTGTGTGTTGGGACACACTTCTGAAACTAGTTTACTGAGTGTTTCATGACTTACTTCTAAGCTATTTGATTACAAAATATATTTCCCATAGACACTTAATACTTTATTAAGAGATTTTTCTGTTGTAAATTAGATAAATAGCAATGTTGCTAACACAAAGAAATATGCCTTAAGTGACAGATTTTGTGTTAAATTATTTTGAAAGCAGTAGTTTTAAATCATATGTAAGGGCTGGCGCCGCGGCTCACTAGGCTAATCCTCCGCCTAGCGGCGCCGGCACACCGGGTTCTAGTCCCGGTCGGGGCGCCGGATTCTGTCCCGGTTGCCCCTCTTCCAGGCCAGCCCTCTGCTGTGGCCAGGGAGTGCAGTGGAGGATGGCCCAGGTGCTTGGGCCCTGCACCCCATGGGAGACCAGGAACAGCACCTGGCTCCTGGCTCCTGCCATCGGATCAGCGCGGTGCGCCGGCCGCAGCGCGCTGGCCGCGGCGGCCATCGGAGGGTGAACCAATGGCAAAGGAAGACCTTTCTCTCTGTCTCTCTCTCTCACTGTCCACTCTGCCTGTCAAAAAAAAAAAAAAATAGGAAAAAAAATCATATGTAAAAAATTATTCTCCTCAGCCCCATTCCTGGTCTCAGGTTAGAAGTCCCCTAGGGGCTGGCACTGTGGCATAGTGGGTAAAGGCTCTGCCTGAATGCCAGCATCCCATTTGGGTGCAGGTTTAAAACCTGGCTGTTCCACTTTTGTTCCTGCTCTCTGTTATGGCCTGGGAAAGCAGTAGAAGATGGCCCATGTGGGAGATCCGGAAGAAACTCCTGGCTACTGGCTTCAGATCAGCCCAGCTCTACCCATTGCAGCCATCTGGGGAGTGAACAAGCCGATGGAAGACCTCTCTCTGTCTGCCTCTACCTCTGCTTCTCTGTAACTCTGCCTTTCAAGAAATTAAATAAATCTTAAAAAAAAGGGGGGGGGTCTCTCTTAAGAAAAAAAAAAAAAACAGAAGTCCCCCAAGGCGAGATCTCCCTGGGTTTAGGGTCTGGACTTGTAAAGAAGGCTCATAGCTACCTTGTCAACCAGCTCATCTAAGAGCAGAGCTGACTGTTGGGCTAACCCAATCACAAGTCCACCTCCTTATCTGACAGAAGAGCCGGCAGCTGAGCCAGCAACAGGCTGTCTGCCCTGTCTAGGAGGGCTGGAGGTGAGTTACCAAAAAAGGGGTCTTGCTCACAAAATCCAGCAGAACAGTCAGTTAAGGATCCTGACAGCTGTTCACAACCATTCAGGTAACAGAAGAAATGGGTGCATATGCCATGGTCTTTAGTGATCTTTCTAGGATAGTATGAGATGAGCTAGAATGTTAATACAATGCATAAATCTAGTATACATATTTATAAAAGCTCCGATCTAGTTCTGGTGTACACACTTTTAAAATATACATGTCATATAATATAGTGTATATGGAATATTTTTATCATATATATTTTTACTTATTTTATTTTTATCTATATTTTTGCTTGAGGGAAATTTTTTTTCTAACCTTTACTCTAAGTGCAAATAATATCAAAACCTAGGCTAGCAAATAACATCAAAAACTAGCCTGCTCAGGCTCTCTTAGCTGGCTTTGATGGTCCAGTGCCATCTACTTGATCAACAGATAGGTGATGTTTCCTAGAAAACCAACTACTTACATTTGTCTTTCACAAAGAACCTGTTGGCAATTGATTAGCCCCATTGGATGAAATCCATTTCTTTTTAACTAATTTTTGTTTCTATGACTAAGAAATAATTATTGTACATAAAAGGAACTCTAGAAGTGATGTTAATTTTTTAAAAGGGTTTTCATCACTTTGTATTGATTTATTTTGGTTATTTGAAAAACAGAAAGCTCCCACCCTCTGATTTACTCCCCCAAGTGCCCAATACGTCAGGGGCTAGCCCAGACTGAAGCTGAGATCCAAAAACTCAATCAACATCTCTTACATGGGTGGCAGGGATCTGACCACTTGAGCCATCACCTACTGTCCGTCCCCTCAGGGTATGCATTAGCAGAAAGCTATAATAAGGGGTAGAGCCAAACTTGAGTCCAGGCATGATAGTATAAGATATTGGTATTCCAATTGGCATTTTCTTTTTTAAAAAGATTTTATTTATTTATTTATTTGAGAGTTAGAGTTACAGAGAGAGGGAGAGACAGAGAGAAAGGTCTTCCATCTGCTGATTCACGTCCCAAACAGTCACAATGGCCAGAGCTGGGCTCATCCAAAGCCAGGAGCCAGGAGATTCTCCCAGGTCTCCCATGCAGGTGCAGGGGCACAAGCTCTTGGGCCATTTTCCACTGCTTTCCCAGGCCATTAGCACAGCCCTCGATGGATCGGAAGTAGAGTAGTGGACAAAAACCAGCACCCATATGGGATGACGGCACCACAGGTGGAGGCTTAGCCTACTATACCATAGCGCTGGCCCCTTCAACTGGCCAAACACCTGCTCCTGAATGCAATATTTAAAATAATTTTCCTGGGCAGGCGTTTGGCCTAGCAGTTAAGGGGACACTTGGAATGGCCACCCACATTCCATATTGGGGTGCCTGAGTTTCAGTACCAGTTCTGCTCCCAATTGCAATGTCCTGCCAATGATTTCCTGGGGGACAGCAGGTGATGGCTCAAGTGTTTGGGTCTCTGCTACCTATGTGGGATACTTGGATTGGGTTCTTGACTCCTGTCCTGGCTTCTGTGAATGTTTGGAGAGTGAGCTAATGGAAGAGAACTCTCTCTCTCTCTCTCTCTCTCTCTCTCCTTTCCTGTCTCCCTGCCTCTCAAATAAATAAATAAATTTTAAAAACTTCAATATAGTGGCCGGCGCCGCGGCTCAATAGGCTAATCCTCCACCTAGCGGCGCCGGCACACCGGGTTCTAGTCCCGGTCGGGGCGTTGGATTCTGTCCCGGTTGCCCCGCTTCCAGGCCAGCTCTCTGCTGTGGCCAGGGAGTGCAGTGGAGGATGGCCCAAGTGCTTGGGCCCTGCACCCCATGGGAGACCAGGATAAGTACCTGGCTCCTGCCGTCGGATCAGCGCGGTGCGCCAGCTGCAGGGCGCTGGCCGCGGCGGCCATTGGAGGGTGAACCAACGGCAAAAAGGAAGACCTTTCTCTCTGTCTCTCTCTCACTGTCCACTCTGCCTGTCAAAAAAACAAACAAACAAACAAACAAAACTTCAATATAGTGGTAGAAGTAACTGAACTATAAGGTGCTTTTCTTGCCAATTTTGATGATCTATAACCAGTGCTTAGCTATGACTATAATTATTTCACCTAATCCTTGTTGACTTTTCCAATTACCATTGTCAACAAATCCCTGATAAAATTCAACTATCCCATCCTCCGAGTGAAACTTGATTCTTTCCTCAGGCAGTGGACAACAGAAGTAACAATACATCATTTGATCCTGTTTTGTAACAAACATTCAAATGAGCATTTAAGCCTTTGTTTATAGTCCTGACATAGTGTTTCAACTACCTTGTCCTTGTTCAAAGCTCTTTTGGGTGTATTTTCTTGGGAACGTCTCCCAGACTAGGTCATCAGCTACCTTAAGACTATTAGTCTCATTACCTCATAATGATATCTTATTTTAGACCCCAAGGTTTTATTGCCCAGTATAATCAAGTCTTTTCTAAGCTCGTATCTCCAAATGAACCTCAGCTGTTTCTACAGACCAAATTGTTGAGAGGACAAAGAGAATAGAGAATATTCCAAAAATAAATCATTATGCTCTGAAAAAAAAAGAATACTTGTAGATGGTTGTCATTTCAAGTTTTCAAAACATCTTCAAGTCTCTTACCTCATTTATTCTTTACAACCTTCTTTGAGTGAAAAAGCCTGAAGTCATTTATTCATTTGTTCATTTGATAGATATTGATGTGATGCCCTCCTAACAGCCAGCGCTGGTAGATCAGA